TTACCCATACCTCTGTTCAATTCCTTTGAAAGTTTTTTGAAGTTAGAGTCTCTAGGCAAAAATATTAAGAGCTAAAGGAAATACATAAAATTCTTTCCCTGCTGAAATAAAACAGTGGATGTTACCAGCGATTTGACTTATTTTGAAACTGGAACTATCATCAGAGGGCCGATTTCCCTTTATATAAAACTCTATAAATGCTGTTTCTGATGATAATTTCTGTAAAGTTATAGTTAATTGTTACAGTCAAAAAACTAAATTTTTATCAGCTTAATTTCCTGCTACTGTATAGTTTTATTATGATGAAGTAGTCTGGGAAGAAAGAGCAGAGATATGATTATGGATTTCTGCCCATTCTCCATATTTTAGGAGAAAATTGAGGTCCAAATAGTTAAATATTTCTGTATCTCTTAACTTGTCATAGTACACAAGTATAAAATTAAAGGTGTGTGAAAACTGATTTTCATTTGATAATTAAGACAGTCTTGCAAATATATTTAACTAAGTTCCAAAACTGTATCAATAAGAGAAATAGATTTTAGGGCTGGCTGAGTGGTTCAGGTGGTTAAAAGAGCGAGCTCTGAGCAACAGTATCACCAGTTCAATTCCCACATGGGCCAGTGAGCTGCACCTGAGCTGAGCTGCCACTGAGCTGCCAACAGGTGGCAGATGGCTCAGCTGGTGAGAGCACATGCTCCTAACAACAAGGTTGCTGGTTAACTCCCGCATGGAATGGTGGGCTACTCCCACCCGCAACTAAGATTGAGCTCAGCACCTTGAGCTGAGCTGCCGATGGGTGGTCGGATGGCTACAGGACTTGGAGCTGAGCTAGCTGCGCCCTCCACAACTAAGATTGAAGGACAACAACTTGGCTGTTCCCCTTTCCCAATTCCCAATACTGTTTCCCTTTCCCAATTCCCCAATAATAATAAAAAACATTCTTACAAAAAAAAAAAAGGAGAAATGATTAAAAAAAACCCCAAGTAACAAAAAACATAATATGTGGTACGTAAGAAGTGCCTAATAAATATCTGTGAATAAGCAAATGAATAAAAAGATTTTATCGTTTTCATTATTCAAGTTCCCTCACAGTTCTTGAATTCATATTTTGTATGTAATCATAATGTATATATCTATAATAATTTACTTTGCTTTTTGCACTTGAGTCATAGTGTCAACAATTTTCCGTGTTATTAGAAAATATGACTATAACCTTTTAAAGTCCCTTTGAAGTTACAACAGTTCTAAGTCAGGTTCCCAAATGACTGTTAACAGGGGTAAATCCAGGTTTTGAGGGGCCCTCATTAAGGAAAAATTACAAAAATATGTTACTTAAAAATTTTTTGCACAATAATGAAAAAATATCTATGCTTTCAAGAGACCATTTGTAGGGCCCCTCCAGAGTCTTGGAGGGGCAAGTTTATTGAGGGACCCTGAATCTTCATTAGCTTCACAGTATATCTGCCTCTAACCAGACACCATCTTCATGGTGGCTATGATATAGCTTGAATGTTTTTTTAGAGGTTTTACTAGAATTTTAGAAAAGTATATCACACTTCAATAGTGTTAGAAATTCTTCCTATCCGGCTGACCTGGAATCTTTTTCAGGCCCCACTATAAACTTGGTGGCTTTTACATTATAAGTGAGCCTCTTAACTTCTTCAGGCCTCAAATTCCTCATCTGTAGAATGGACTTGATAGCCATCTCAAAGAATTACAAATGAAAACAAAGATAAAATACTTGGTAGAGCTCCTGACAAATAGTAAATGCGCATTAAATATTAGCCATTATGATTACAGCAATAATTTAAAACATTAACCTACCACATATAGGAACCTCCTGTCTCTCCATTATAACTTCCCACACTGACTGTAGATAAAATATGGTATAAAATGAATTTCAAAGTGTTGTGCAGATTCAATTTTTTAATTTTAATTTTTAAAAATATTATGAAAAGTAATAGCTACATAACAAAAGATTTGGAAAATAGAGAAAAGAAAAAAAGCACCCATAATTTCACCAGACTTATGCTATATTTTCTTGTATTTTTCCTTTATGCAGATTCCATTTTATTAAAATATGCTTGAAATAAGTAAGCTCAATTATTCTCTTTTCACAGAGGTTTGATATTATGGCATTATTATTTTCAAATACATGGCAAATCTTAAATATGTTTTACATAAAACAATTTTTAAATATCAGGTGAAAGAAAAGGTATACATTCTACTGTTATATTTCCATACTTACCGAAAACTTATATTTTTACAAGGTTACGATCCTAGCGTACAAAGAATTTAATAGCATTTTTTTCTTACTTTATATCAAGTCTTTCTCCATACTACTACACACTACTAATGCAACATTCATAGTAACTGGTGCATCTGAGAGCAAGGCTTAGTTTCCTAAACTTTTTTATACAACTGTATATGAAGAAACTAAGGCAGGCTAAGGTGTGATAAATCAGAAACTCAAAGTGAGAGCTTTTGGTTTGCCTGAAACTATAATGTAGAAAATGTAGAAAGAGAAGTTAGAACTCAGGAATTTCTTACCTTCCAACTAAATGTCTAAATCAGCAAAAGAATAAAGCATTATCAATATAATCCTAAATGCTATATACACTTTTATTTCTTCCTTACTAGATGGAGAGTGGTGGAATACTATTTAATGGCAAAAACTTGTTTGTCATGATATATATATTGGGGTTTTAGCTCTCAAAATTGGATAAACATACTCTCCCCCAAAGGGATCTTTCTTTAAAATTTAGGAAGGAAATACAAATCTTCAACATCTAGAACAACAGGTCACAGTCTGGTCATGGTTGTCTGGATTCAGTGACATTTGCTGTTGGAAAGAGGCCTTTACCTTCTAATTATGTTATTGGGTTGACATTCATTGATTTCACAGTACAAACTCTTCCTTTTAAGCTTCGTTTCTTTCTTTTTTTTTTTTTTAAAGATTTTTATTGGGGAATTGGGGGGATGGAAACAGTGCTGGGGAATTGGGGGAAGGGGAACAGACAAGTTGCTGTTGTTTTGTTCTTCAGTCTAGTTGTGGAGGACTTTGCTTCACTGGCCCAAGTTGGCACCATCATTGCGCTCTTCCCAGGTGAGGCAGATCAGTCGCAGGCTTCTGGACGGCTGCTCACTGCCGCTGCTGGCTGCTCACGCTGGCTGCTGGCTACACACACAGTAGCCCATGGCAACCCACTGCAGCAGGGGCTGCAGCCTATGCCGTCGCTGGCGACTCACGGCAGCCCAGCTCCAGGTTGAGCTGTTGTTCAGTATCTTAGCTGTAGAGGGCAGTGTCACTGGCCCTCATATGTGGGATCCAAACCGGGGCCCTCTGGCGTCCCAAGCCAGTTCTTAAACACCACGCCACTCAGCCGGCCCAAGCTTCGTTTCTTTTTAATGTTGTCCTGCTGGAGAAATTCAAGCCACATTTTAAAAATTATAAAATACAACATACATTGAAGAAACAATCAATGTGTCCATTCTGAATGAATGGATAAACAAAATGTATATACATACATTGGAATATTATTCAGCATTAAAGAGGAAGGAACTTCGGATACATACCACAATGTGGATGAACCTTGAAGACATTATGCTAAATGAAATAAGCCAGGCACAAAAGAACAAATAGTGTATGATTCCACTTGTATGAAGTATCAAAAAGACAGAATATAGAATAGTGGCTATCACGGGACTGGGGAGAGGAAGGAAGGCAAGGGGGGAGTTATTGTTTAATGGGCACAGAGTTTCAGTTTGGGATGATGAGAAACTTTTGGAGATGGACAGTGGTGATGGTTGCACAACAATGTGAATGTACTTACTGCTACTGAACTGTATGCTTAGAAATGGTTAAAATGGTAAATTTTGTGTAATTTTTTATAAAGAAAATTCCAATATAACATGTACTGAAAAGTGTATTATACATATTCATTTTAAGAAATAATTATGAAGCAAATATGTATATAATCACCACCTAGGTCAAAAAATACAATATTAGAAGGTGCCCCTGTGCCCCTCCCCATCACAACGCTTTTTTTTCTTACTGAGTAACCACTATCCTGACTCTAACATTTGCTTTTAAAAATCTGGCTGTGATGTGATAATGCAGGATAAGTTAAATCAACACTACAAAACGCAAGAGTATTTCTTCCAATTCCGGTATTTTACATAAATGCAAAAAAAATTTTTTAAACTTAACTTTTAAAGTGCTTTTTTCCTCTTGGAACTCTTCATATTCTAAAATCTATCTTGGTTCCACAGTTAACCTCACCTGCAGTTACAAAAAACAACTAATTCTGTGTAGATTTTACATTTTCATCCCTCCCGCTCTCCATTGCCTCCAACTACAAAGAAACAATGATTTAAACCCTTTGTGCCCTTTTAGAAAATTACACAGATACCCCATTGTGGAACCCTATAATCCCTCCCTGGAAAGGAAGAGATTAGCATATGAATACAAAGCAAAATGAATCCAGAATACAAAATGATCTGCTGATTTGTAAAGTTCTTGTAGTCTTAAAAATGTATTTATTTATTTCCTCTTTTTGTATTGCCCCTTTAGTGGTCTCCGGGTTAAGGAATTGAGCTTCCCCTCTGGTTACCCGGAAAAGGATTAAAAAAAAAAAAAAAGCCAACAGAATCTACGAGGTGCAAAACCAACAGATGGCTCCCAAAGCCAGTAGAATCGCCCATGGAATCTGCCGACATTCGACATGAGCTTGCTTGTCGGCGAGGAGTGTAGAAAGTGCTGTTCGCAGATTGCATGGTGAAGAGGAGAAAGCGACAGAAGAGAGAGCCATAGTGCTGACGTTGAAGGCCCAGCCCTGTGAGGTTGCACAGGGTAAGTGGCGTTGGCCAGGAGGCTGTGGCGAAGGGGAAGGAGAGGATTTGGGCTAGGGGCGGGGCCTGCGGCGTAGCGTGCTTTCTGATTGCTGGAGCACTCCTGCCAATCTCGCAGAATCGCTCGGTTAACCAGTGCGCAGGCGAGAGGCGCTCAGATATACAGAGTGAGCTCGGAGAAGCAGTCTCAGATCCTGACGGTGCAGCAGCCCGCAGCCTCAGCCAGGGAGTCCCAGCCGCTTTCAATGGAGGAGAAGCCCGGCCAGCCACAGCCTCAGCACCATCACAACCACCACCATCCGCACCATCACCCCCAGCAGCAGCAGCAGTCGCAGTCGCATCACCACCACCATTATTATTTCTACAACCACAGCCACAACCACCATCACCACCACCATCACCAGCAGCCTCACCAGTACCTACAGCATGGAGCCGAGGGCAACACCAAGGCCCAGTCAAAGCCGCTGAAACATGAGCAGAAACACGCCCTCCAGCAGCACCAGGAAACGCCGAAGAAGAAAACAGGTCTGGGAGGGAGGACGAGTGGGGGAAGGGGAGTAAGGGTGGAGGGTAGGGGCGATGGGGGTGGGGCTGGATCTGGAAAACGCGGACCGGGTCCGGGTGCGTGAGTGTATGTGTCCGTGTGTACTGCGAGTCTGGGGAAGCCCCCTTTCATTCTCCCAAAGCTCGGGCTGGGCCGCGGGGTTTGCAGCGCGCTCTCCTTCCCCTCAGCATGGGAGAGGCCCAACCAGGCCAGTGTGACCTTCCCGGCCCCCGCCCGGGCTGGAGAAAGACCCGGAGGGTCGGCCTTGGAAGTCGAACCTTATTATTCCTTTCCCGTTTACCTTCTGCGGCCCTGGAGGGACCTCAATTTGGGGGCCTTTAGTTGGGGTGAACCTAGCCCCCCAAATCCTTCGGGGTGGAACTCAGGAAGGCCTAGCGAATTCCGACTCTGGTGGTGTCGCGAGACCCTTTTGCAGGCGGCGAGGAGAGGGTAGGTGGGCAGAGTTAAGAAGTGTCCTCTCACCGCCACCTCAAGCCCACCTGTGGCCTTGGGGGTTCCTCTCGGGGGGGGGGGCGGTGGTTGGGACCCCTCGTCTCTCGGGTCATTTCCATCCCTAGATGCCCCTTTTGGGCACTGGACCCCGTGGCTCCTCCCGAGGCCGGCTCTCCGGGCCCGCTCCCCCCAGAGCCGGCGCGGCTGGAATGTTCTCTCCTCCTCGCGGGGCCGCTTCCTGTCCGCCATGTTGGAAGCCGATTCCTGTCACCGACTCCGGCCCACTGAGGAGCGGAGGGGGAAGGGTGTCGAGGGGCACCCGGCGCGGCGGAGCCGGGTGCTCGGGATCCCCACCGGCGGTCGCCTTGCTCCCCCTGCACTGCGGGGGCGCCGCCGGCCCGCGGCCCCCCTCCCCCAGTCGCCGGCCGGGTTGTGTAACCCGGTGGCTGCCGCGCGGCCCCGGGCGGGTCCCTGGGGTGAGGGGCGGGGGCGGTTGAGGTGGGGGAGGGAAGCGGCCACGAGGGGAGCGGCCTGCGCTGGGCCCCGCGCGCCGGCCGTCGCGTTTCCCGCTCCCGGGTGCGGCGGGAGGCGCGGGCGGTCGGGGCGCGGGGTCTCCAAGCGGAGCCGAGGGAGAAGGAGGCCGCGGATTGCGGGCAGCGTCCTCGGCGCTCCTCGGGGGCAGGAGGGCTGGGGGTGAGGGGGACACATCTTGGGCCGAGGCGGTGCCTGAAGGCCGGGTGGGGTACCCAGCGGGAACCCGGCTCCCCGGTCACGAGTTTCTCTGCCACAGGAACCTCATCTCCTGCCAGGTTCGCTCACGACTCTCAGGCTTTCACTTGGGCCCTTTCCTACTAGCAGTTCGTTTTTACAAGAAAAGCTTGTTCTGTCTCCCTCCACTCCCCCCACCCCCAACATTTACCTTCTGGGCATGGGTGGTATTTTTGCGGAGAGCGATTTGAAAAAAATATTTTATTGGATGGGGTACAGGGCGAGGTTTTTTTTACCCCTATTTCTTGTCTTTAAGGGTGAACCGAGGTGGCTCATCCATGAGGTTGGTTCACTACCATCTTGCCTTGGATGAGGGAGGTTTGTTTCCATTTTGAAAGGAAAGGTGTTTTCCCATTTTCAAACCGATATTGATCCCAAAACTCTTGTTTCTAACAAATGTTAAATTGAGGGTAAAAGGCGTTTTAGAAAACATTTGAGAAGAAATGAACTTAAAAGTTGATAGCCATGCAGATTTATTAAAATACAGGTTCTTTATACATTGAAGAGAAATGAAGGGAATGGTAAGAAAATGAATGTTAAACCTAGCATGTCAAATGTGATACAAGCTGTTACTGAGCGCAGGAGAAAAACTGCTTTTCTGTTGCAGACTTAATGTGACTTGAAGACTGAATTGGAATGTCAGGCCTTCCATTTTTGAAGGTAGTAGGGACTGATGGCGTGCAGTAGAAATGAATATATAGATGTGTCTAACAGTTTCTAAAAACTGTTAGAAACTACAACACTAGATCTTTTTAATGTTATGTCTTTTTCAATCTAAAAGCGAGAAAATCTTGCCTTATGATTGATTGGACTATAAGGCAGTATTACTGCTCAGCTTGGAAAATTGTATTTTGTTGGTCAGGTAATTCATCCCTGCAGGACTCCCCTCTACATATAGAAGCAGCTCCTGAGCCACTCAAGGTGGTATCCTTCAAATTAGTATGTCTTACCTGGGGAGAGGATAAAGAGCGCAAACTGGGCTTAGCAATTTTGAGAGAACATAAACAATTTGGGATGAGCAGTGTTTCACGTGTGGCCTGGTCACAGTACTGTTGCTTCAACATGCATAATGCTAATTTACTAAGAAAACAGGTTTTTGTGAAATACATCTTCAATATGTTGAGGTGGGCTCTTTTGACCCATTACCCACAAACCTATAAAGAGGAAGTTTTTCTATATCCAGAAGAGGGCGCAAGAGAGGGCCAAATGTGCTCAGCAATTTCAGTTTCTAATCCAAAAGCTAGATTTTTGCAGAGTCCATTTGAAATAGGGCTAGATGCTTTAGCATGGCGACCCTAGATAATAAAAGCCCTAGGAGTCCTTTGATTTCTTTCAGTAATTCTATAATGTTTACATTTTTCTTAAATACCCGAGTTTTAAAAAGAAAATGTCTCTCTGGCAGACTTTTTGCATACCAGCAAGGTTACCATGGGAAAAATTTTTATATAGAGAAATTTTTTTGTGATTAAAACTTGGGAGTGGAAATATAGTGGCCTCTGGGCTGTTTTAAATTGTTTGGTGATTTCTGATATTAGAGCCACCAAATATTAGTAATCTTAGGAAAAATTATTCTAGCTCATTTAAAAGTCTTGGCTTTGTTCCAGCTTAGCTTGGACATTGGAATTTTTTTGGTGTTTAAGACTGCTTACCTTAGAGATCTGGAAAGTTGACGAATGGGCCCAAGGGTACAAGCCTTTTGTAAGCCTGTTAGCAATGTTAAATGGTACATGTAGTTCTTCTCTTGGATCTAGAGTTGTATACAGGTAAATTTATGTTTGTTAAAAGTGTGGAGAGCCTCTATATTAGAACTTCCTGCTTTTTGAAAGAAAGAAAAACATTGTAGAAAACATCCTAAGCAGTGATCTCTTCTTACTGTTTCATAGTTAGAATTTTTCCATCAAAAGTATGACTTGATTGGCTGTCATAGCCTTTCAGCAGCCAAAAACTAAAATGTAACTCTACAGAAGTTAAGAACTTTTACAAAATATATTCTCTCATGGTGCAAGTTTTGTGACACTCTATCTTAGTTATGATTGCTTATGCCTTAAGTATGTTTTCTTAGGTTATTTGCTGAAAGGTAATACAGCAGAAGAGAATGCCTTTATTTGCTCATTTTGAATGTTCCCACTTTTTCTCTGATGTAGAATGAGTGACTTAAAATTATATAGTAAACTTTATTGGGAATCTTCCCAGACTATGTTCTATTCCATATCAAGTTCTTTTAAAACAGTGATTCTTAAACTTTTAAAAAATTCTTAGTATTTCTTATACTCTTATAATATGCAAAGAGCTTTTAATGTGGGTTACATATCTATTGATATTTACCATATTGGAAATTAAAACAAAATTAAAAAACAAGAATATACAAGTTCATGTACTTTTTAACCTTCACAGGCTAAAGACCCAAGAGATTGAATGAAAGTGACCAAGGCAAATTACTTGGTATTCCTGTTGAATGGCACCCCTTGCCCTGAAAAAGCTGCCTTAAATGAGAGAGAGAGACCTATTGTGTATCTCTTTCTAATGAGTTGACTTTGAGATATTTTGGGAACATTTCATAGAAAAGGAGATAACTAGTTTATCTATTTTACTAGTAAGGAAATGGGAAAGGTGGTTGATGCAGTTGAACCACCTAAGTAATAAATTGTTTATGGCAGCTGAAGGTCTTAACTTGAATACCATAACAGTTTTTAAAATTAGTTACCTTTCATTGTAGTTTTGTTAGTAAATATTTTCTTACTGCATCATTTAGGTAGGCAGTATGATGTAGTGATAGGTACCCATGTTCCAGGCAGACTGGAGTTCAAATTTCCAGTTCTTCCACTTTGTGACTTGGGCAAGTTACTTAATTTCTCTGATAGTCTGTTTACCTAAATGTAAAATGGAGAAAATACATCTTATGAGTTAGAAACATTGGGACATAGGTGTTTTGGCTTTATACTAACAGTATGATCTAATGTCTGGGAAATGTCAAAATGAATTGAACTACTTTAGAAAAAGTTCACAGGTGTTAGATTTTTGTTTGACAGAATGCAATAGAACTGCTATGGTCACCGCCAGCTACTTATGGTTTCATAGAAGTGGAGTCTTTAATTTCCTTGTAATACTTAAAATTTATCAGTGTAACTTGATTTTGCCCAGAGGGTAGCTCTGTTCTTTATTGTAAAGGAAATTTTATAACAGCCTTTTGAGAATGATGGAAAGGTTGATTTTGTTAGATGAGAGGCATGCACCTTAGAGGTCATGTTCTTTCTAAACTTGGACTTTGATTTGCATCCCTGCTTAGTTCTGTCTCTTGCATAGTAGACTTCCTCATCTGTAAAACGGGGTTGACAAATGTCTTTTGATGGAACTGTGAAATAATAACATACAAAGCTAAAGCTCATAGCATGGTGTCTAGCACACAGTACATAAGCAGTCCTTAAATGTTAGGTACTATTGTAATTTTCATATTGTAATTTTTAAAAAACTTTTTTTTCCTTCCTAGGCTATGGTGAACTAAATGGTAATGCTGGAGAAAGAGAAGTATCTTTAAAGAACCTCAGTTCTGATGAAGCTACCAACCCTATTTCCAGGGTCCTCAATGGCAACCAACAAGTTGTAGACACTAATCTGAAGCAGACTGTAAAGGCCAGCACCTTTGGGAAAGCAGGAATTAAAACTAGGAATTTCATTCAGAAGAACAGTATGGACAAAAAGAATGGAAAGTCTTATGAAAATAAATCTGGAGAGAACCAGTCTGTAGATAAGAGTGATGCTGTAGCAATTCCAAATGGTGTTGTAACAAATAATTCTGGCTATATTACTAATGGTTATATGGGCAAAGGAGCAGATAATGACGGAAGTGGATCTGAGAGCGGATATACCACTCCTAAAAAAAGGAAAGCTAGGCGCAATAGTGCCAAGGGTTGTGAAAACCTTAACTTAGTGCAGGACAAAATAATGCAAGAGACAAGTGTCCCAACCTTAAAACAGGGACTTGAAACATTCAAGCCTGACTACAGTGAACAAAAGGGAAATCGAGTGGATGGTTCCAAGCCCATTTGGAAGTATGAAACTGGGCCTGGAGGAACAAGTCGAGGAAAACCTGCTGTGGGTGATATGCTGCGGAAAAGCTCTGATATTAAACCTGGTGTGAGCAGCAAAAAGTTTGATGATCGGCCCAAAGGAAAGCATGCTTCTGCTGTTGCCTCCAAAGAGGACTCGTGGACCCTATTTAAACCACCCCCAGTTTTTCCAGTGGACAACAGCAGTGCTAAAATAGTTCCTAAAATAAGTTATGCAAGCAAAGTTAAGGAAAACCTCAACAAAAGTGTACAGAACTCTTCTGTGTCACCATCTTCGTCTTCATCATCATCATCATCTACTGGGGAAACTCAGACCCAGTCTTCAAGTCGGTTATCACAGGTCCCTATGTCAGCGCTGAAATCTGTTACTTCAGCCAACTTTTCTAATGGGCCTGTTTTAGCAGGGACTGATGCAAGTGTATTTTCTCCAGGGGGTCAGCCACTGCTAACTACTGCTGCTAATACGCTAACACCCATCTCTTCTGGGACTGATTCAGTTCTCCAGGACATGAGTCTGACTTCAGCAGCTGTTGAACAAATTAAGTCTAGCCTTTTTATCTACCCATCAAATATGCAAACTGTGCTGTTGAGCACAGCACAAGTGGATCTACCCTCTCAGACAGATCAGCAAAACCTGGGGGATATCTTCCAGAATCAGTGGGGTTTATCATTTATAAATGAGCCCAGTGCTGGCCCTGAGACTGTTATTGGGAAGTCATCAGATCATAAAGTGATGGAGGTGACATTTCAAGGGGAATATCCTGCCACTTTGGTTTCACAGGGTGCTGAAATAATCCCCTCAGGAACTGAGCATCCTGTGTTTCCCAAGGCTTATGAGCTGGAAAAACGGACTAGTCCTCAAGTACTGGGTAGCATTCTAAAATCTGGGACGACTAGTGAGAGTGGAGCCTTATCTTTGGAACCTGGTCATATAGGTGACCTGCAAAAAGCAGACACCAGTAGTCAAGGTGCTTTAGTGTTTCTCTCAAAGGACTACGAGATAGAAAATCAAAATCCTCTGGCATCTCCTACGAACACTTTGTTAGGCTCCGCCAAAGAACAGAGATACCAGAGAGGCCTAGAAAGGAATGATAGCTGGGGTTCTTTTGACCTGAGGGCTGCTATTGTATATCACACTAAAGGTAACTCATTTGTTTCCTATGCAAAGATTCTTATTTTTATACATTTATTAACTGTTGTATTAATGGTGGATTTTGGAAATTACTGTGAGATTCTTTAAGAATTACAGAGCTTAGTTGAGAATAATGTGGATAAGCAGCTGATTAATTCAGGGTCTCTGGGAATAGATAAAGTTTAGAAGGAATGTTCACTTTTCCAATTTAAAAGCATTTCTTTTGATATAGACAAGTATAATTGACCCCTTGCCTAGTTCCAAGAATAAGGAGGGGTGGGGGTGGAGAGGTGCCTGAAGGGATGGTGTTATATTTTCTCTTGAACACTCTTAAAAGTTCTTTTTAAAATTTTTCTTTGAACAGATGTTCCCTCTCCTTTGCTTTTTATATCATATGCTTCTTTTTTAGTGAGCTCACTTAATAGTTCTAATTTGCTTAAGATGAGTAGGAGCAGTGTTTTTGAGGAGTCCAAAAAGATGGAGTGTCAGACTTTTTTTTTCTCTTATAAGAAGGAATAATGGGTGCCGAATGGTAATTTGAAAATAATTCAGACAGACTACAATGGCAGGCACAATTAGCATTGTAGGGACCAAGCTCTTGGGAGGCTGTACTTCTGATTGCCCCAAAACCCATGTTAAAAAGGAACCAGATACGTTTCAAGTTCCATGCTAATAACCTTAGAAGATGGTTTATTTGCTGTATGGCATAAACTTATGTAAATCTGCAAAGTTAATTGTAAGGTTTAATGAATGATGTTTACAACCTTCATGCTTTTGAGAACAGTGGTTTTCAGTCTTCACCTTCATCCCCCCAGCCCCTTCCTAACAGAAATGCATACCCCATGCATGCATGCATGTACACACCTAGAATATACTACACATTCCTTTTTAAAACTTTTTCAATTTTTAGAAAATTATTTTCCAGTTACTATTAACATACACTATTATATTAGTTTCATGCACATATCCATTTTAACAGTGGCTGATTTAGGCAGTCACTTGCAAATTCAGGGTAGTGGCAATATATAATCATACAGTGGGTTTGAGGTAATTACCATATTCTCCTTGAAGAACCACTGCCTCAGATATCAGTAACAAAGTTATTTATTTGACTTTTAAGCAAATTACCTAGTCTAAGTACCTTATCTGTAAACTGTAAGACATTTAGTGAAGTAAATAGATGTCCTTTTTCTATTTTTCTTCCTTTAAAACATGAGAGTAAGTAGAATTGGCTTATGGGAGTTTAGGAGTAGAAATCTTGGCAGATACAATTAACCTGTCTTCACTGTTCTCCAGCACTGCCCTTTGGAAGTAAATATGAGTTAACCAGGAGCTAGCTGGATGTTTTTAGGAAAGTTAGGGCAAAAAAGAAATGCTTAGTTTCTTAAGACATGTGGTTAGTTGTGAATTAAATTCTGCCAGGGGAGTTGGGTATTTTTGGTGTTATCTCCTGTGCCATCTGCCCGTTAGAGACCATTAATTGTAAAATCTTCACTAAAGTATTTTGGTAATCGTGTGAGGCTAAGAAGATACCTGGTTGTGTTAGGGTCTCCCACAACCTGCAAAAAAATTCTGGGACAAGTTGTTGGATTAGGTGGTTGGTTGGTGTTTTTAGGCATAATTTTTATTATGGAGAACTGCAGGCGTTTTAAAATGAGAGTATTAACTCCTGTTTCTGAGTTTTCTGTGTGCATTTTCTCTATGGATAGGCTAACTAAATATGACAGCAATGGTATTTATTTAGATAAACTAAATGCCTCTATATGTGTGCAGTTTTATTTAGTTTTGCTGGTGTTACTGAAAGATTTGCTTTACTAAAGTGTGTCAGTTTAAGTTCTGTAGTTGGACATTATTGAGATTAAATTGGTATAGATTGTTCCCCCACCCCCAGAATAATAGGTAATTAAATCAGTTCAATTAGGTCCCAAAGTGGCAGGTTCTTTGAATTCCTGCCAAGTGTAGATTGGTCCATTAGGTCACTAATTTCTCTTTGAATTTGTTTTGAATCACAACCTTTTGAAGATCTGCAGATCTTTTTCATAAGTGAAGGCCTGTGTTTTTTTGTTTTGTTAAATTTTAAGTTTTCTGAAACTCTAAAAAGAAGTAATAATCACTTGGGCTTATTTGGAATGTCCTTTAAAAGAGCATCTGTATTATTTTTTTAGCTCTTTAATGTAGTCTCTAAATGTTCAAAAGTAATGTCTTACTAAGTTATTTGAAGTTAGGCTTAGAAGTTCTATGCATACCCCCTAACTTCACAAATAAGCCCTTCAACAACTTTATTTGGAAATAGGTAAGAAAGTGCTTTTTATGTTCAGTAGGAAGGTGCATCTTTTAGATTAAACAATTGCAGCCTTGGAAGTACTGCAGATTTTTAATAATTAATATGGAATGAAGGTACATTGAGGCGTAAAAAGGCATCAGTGGGAATTCTGCTTCTTGGGATTTTCCTTTAGCTTTTGATATATATTATGGTACTAACTTAAGAAATAAGACTGTTAATCTGTGTGCTATCGAGGAGCATATAGTACCATTACATAGCAGTACCACTATTTGAGGTGAGAGGTAGGTCTTCTTTTCTTATTTATCTAAAGTGAAACTTAAGAGGCAAAACTTCAATAAAGTGATATCTTTTTAAATTGATTATGAAGAAATTTAAGTATACACGAAATGGAGCCAGTAATATAATGAACCACAATGTATCCAGCATCTAGCTTGGACATTTAAAAAGCATTATCATTCTTGTTTCACCTATCCACCTTCACACTTTTTTTTGGAGTTTTTAAAAGCAAATTCAGGTATAACATTTTACTTGGCGATACTTTGAGTATGTTAGAGTGATAGCTTTTAATGCACATACCTAGGACATAAAACTTGCCTCCTTCAAAGTAGTTACTCAGAATTGTTAGTTTAGTGGAACTCTTTGATTTGTTATAGGCTTATAATATTAGATTCTAACTTTCTGAGGTGAATCTTTGGTTTTGAAATGTTTTAAGTCATTTGAAGCCAAGTCTGTTGAAATAATGTAGGTTGGTGTGAGTTGCGTGTTTGGTCAGTGTTAACTTAAACCAGGTTGATTTATCTTGCCCTGGCTAACATTGCACTGAAGGATATCAAGCATCCAAAATGCAGACGTTTTGGAGTATTCATTAAAAATAATTTGATATGGTCAATTTTACCCAGCAAATAGTGATTCAAGGGGGATGAATAGAATAAGATTTAATTTTTGATGGTTGGGGTGAGTCAGCGTGAAAGCTGTCTGGCATAAAATATCCCTGAGGCAACTCTAGGCTATTGCATGAAATTTTAAACATTTGTTTCCATTGCCTCCACAGGTGGCAGGTTATTGGTATAAGTGATTTGATTCACTAGATCTGGGTTGGGCCCTGGAATTTAAAAAAAACAAAACAAAACAAAAAAAACCCCACAAATTTAACTCACTAGATGGTTCTAATTGTCATCTATAGTAGGACTGGGAACTCTGGGTCTAGAGAACTTGCTTTAACTTCATCTTTTATTTCCCCTTTTCTCTGCCACAGTTTTTCTGTACTACTAAAGAGTTGTGCTATAATTTGTGTGTGTGTGTGTGTGTGTGTGTGTGTTTTCCCTTCTTATGTACCTACCGTAGGCAAAGTACTTTGTTTAGTTATGTAAGACTTACTTTGACAGGGTGAGTCTTTCCTTTAAAGAACTAAATCAAGTAGAGGAGAAAACAATATACAAGTTTACAAGGTAAAATTTTAAATGTCATGAGGATACAAATAACTGGGAGATTTCAGTGGAGAAAGAGAGAATTTAATGGAGTAAAAATAGAGAGCAAGTGCACAGTATGTTTTCGTGGGAAGCAGCCTCCTTGAAACGGTGCTGATGGATAGGGGACATTTTTTACTTATGGAAATACAGAGAAGAGGAAGATAAAGAATAGAAAAGTTGGAGAATCATGAGTAAATGTGAATATTGGAAGAGATCCTCTTTGGATGTGCTGAGGGGATGTAAAAGAGAAGGAAGGTAAGTTGCTGCCAGATCTTGGAGGTTTTTAATTTCAGTCTGGAGGCAGGGGGAGTTATTGAATATCAGAGAGATAGGCTGGTGGAATGAAAGTAATTTAAACTAACAGAATAGGGGTTTTACTGCTGCTCTTCCTAATTCCTGTGTACTTGGGCAAATCATTTGTCATTTGTAAGCCTGGGTTTCCTGATTTTATAAAATAAGTATATCAGCCTTTGTTTTGTCCTATCAGATGGTACTCAAGTGCTTTAAAAATTGAGTTGGTATTAAGCAACTGACTTGTAGATCTATGTTCAGGTTGGTTAATGTACCAATTTGTAGGGTAGATTGGAAGCCATTTTTCTGATGACTAGAAATGGAAGATCATTTAGACTTTTGGAATAGTCCAGGCAGAGAAATAAGAAAGATTTTCTCCTTGTATTTGCAGTCATGTGAATGTATTTTTTAAAAGTTTTTAGGTTGGGTAAGGGCAAGAGGGAACTGATAAATATTTCTACGTCTACAGGATTTGGGAAACAGGATATGAAGAGACAAGTTATGGTTACTCAATAAAACTGATGGGGACTGTGTACAATTTAGACATTTGTTCACAGAAGGAGCTGAATATTAATTTTTCTCCTTTGACAATACTTAATAAGTATTTTCACCTTCGTTTCATTACAATTGTGCCATGTTTTCTTCACAGCTGTCTTTCTAATAATCTTATTAGTTAGGTGCCTGCAGATTTTACTTTGGTTTCAGCCCTAGTTCAATTTCCTAGATTTAGGAAAGATCGTTTTCTTTTTTTCCTCTATGAAATTATAGAAATGTATGTAACAAGTAATTCTTATGATAGAAGATCCTTTTTTCCCCCAATGACTTGCCATTTTAACATCCATACTAGGTGCTTGATTTCTCATTAAGTCTGCTTTATGAATGCAATAATAATGAATTTACTTTGGTATTAGTCTAAAAGGTAACTTGTAAGGAATTTATAGAAGCTAAACTTGAACCCTTAGATTT